GGCTGCGCGCACGCGGGGACGGGCAGGGGCAGCAGCGGGGGCGCACTCACCTTGTTGGTGGTGAAGGAATCCCACACGATCACCTTCCCGTCCTGCGGGGAGAACGGCGGGCTCAGACCCCAGCCTGCCCACGGCGGAGGGGCGAGCGCCCCAGCCCGGCTCACCGCGGGCAGATGCCCGGCCCCTGCGGCCTCGGGAGCCCCACGCCCCCAGGGCCCGATGCACAGCCCGGCCCTGCCCCACCCCCGCCCGGTGAGGGGCGAGGCCACTGTCACCCCCAGGGAAAGAAACCCCGCAGGCCCAGGTCCCCGCAGGACAGGGCCGGCTCCTCGGTGCCCCCTGGACCCGTGCGGGTCCCGAAGCGCGCAAAGCTGGCGTCAGGGTGCATCAGGAAACCCAGGCCCTGGCCGCTCGGCTCCTGGGCACGGCGAGGTCCTGGCCTGCTGCCCGGCTCCTGGGCACGGCACCGACACGTGCTGCCCACGTCACGGCTTCCTGCGCCAGGCCCCTCGGCCACCTGCTGCGTCCCTTCACGCAAGAGGAGCACAGGTCCACTCCCTGGGGCCCACAGGCTCGCGCTGGCTCAGCTCCGCTTTGCACCCGAGAGGGCCGCAGGGCGAGTCAAGGTCGTGGCCCCCCTCGCCGCCCCCACAGCAGAGCGGGGTGCAGGTGCCTTCCCGCTCCAGCTAGCAGGAGTCCTTCCCCAGCCCGGAAGATCCAGTCAGGAGGGCTAGGAAGCTGCGGGGACAGCTTGCCAACCACTCTGTAAAAATAAGCTTTGGAAAGACAGACCAGGAAGAAATGTGCCACAGCAGTGATGGCTGGGCAGGACAGCGGGAGTAAACACTTTTTGTTCTATTTTCCAGTGTTTCTTTAACACACACAAGTGATTAATTGATGATGGATGAGCTAGGTGGGGTGGGCACACCTATAATCCCAGCACCTGGGAGGCTGAGGCAGGAGGATAGCAAGTTCAAGCCCAGCCTGGGCTGCACTTAGCAAGGCACATGTCTCAAAATAAAAGAGGGCTGGAAGGTAGCTGAGTGGGAAGGCCCCGGGCTCAATCCCCAGCACCACACACGCACACACATAAAAAGCAAGTGCTGCGTGTCACGTCAGGTTTGTAGGTAACCAGAAGGCTGTCCTGTCCAGCCTGACACAGGTGGAGACAGGCTGTTGCTGGATTATCTAGAACACGCACAGCTCTATTGGGTCGTTAAGAAAAGATAACCCTTCTTCTCAGAACACGGGTGGAAGACAAGAACGAGAAACCTGCACGGATCACAAAAATCTGGCTTCCGGAGCGTCTTCCGTGAGTCCAGTCTGCAATTTTATGCAGCACACGTGCAACACAAAAATACGCATGGAAAGCAAGCTGCGGGGCGGCTAGGTTTGGGGCAGCCTGCTCCGCGGGGAAGGGCAAGGCGCACACAGGTGTGAGCTACGTAAACTCTGTACAGGGAGCGGGCCACTGTACTTTCCAAACGTTCACTCACATCTGTTCTTCACACTGTAGGAGCGGATAAACTGAAAGACCCATGGTGGAGCCCTCGTGACGTGTGCCCCACTGCCGACGGGCACAGGGAGGAACTCTGAGAATGGGCTCACTCTCACAGGAGGCCTTGCCACTCGCTCAGGAAGACATGGTTGGCACAGTTCAAAAAAGCCAAATCCAGGCCACTGTTCCAGCCTCTCCCGACTCCAAACCTCCTACATCAGCGAGGAGCAAGAGACTCCCTCCAGCTGAGTCACGTCCTCTGGGGAACAGGCAAAGCATCCGCTGGACAAGGCCCTCTGGGGACAGCCCTCCGTCCTCCGTTGGAGCCGCCCGGTCCCGCGCACCGCGTACCTGGGAGGAGCTCACAATCCGCCTCTTGTCCCGGCACCAGTCCATGCACAGCACCTTGTTCCCGTGGCCTTTGAGGGTCCGCCTGGTCTTCATGACGAACTGGCCCAGGGCCTCCACCCGCTCCGCCACCTGGCGCACTGGGGGACAAGGTCAGTCAGCCTGACACGAAGGCCAGCTCGGGCACGGGGCGCAGGAGGACCGCGGCCCCTCAGAGGGCCTGGGGCGTTCTCCTGTCTGTCGTGCCTTCACCACACTCTGCCACGATCTCGTCCCCTTTGGGTTTACAACACTCTATTTTCAAAGCACCTCCTTATGTGCACAGTGTGTGATCAAAAATATGGTGCATATTTAATTAAAAAAAAAAAAAAACTATAGTAAAAGACGCTTTGCCAGGGAAAGAACTAAAAGCCCAAAATGAACACACTCATCCCATATACCATCGTCCTGGCCACTTTCTGAAGCAGTTCTGTAGTCCCCTCCTGTGAGTGTCTTTATGAGGTGTGATAAAAAATACAGTGAACGCTGCTGCTGAGTGCCGTCCAGCGGAAAGGCAGCTTGTACAAATGTGACACTGTGTCCTCTTCCACCTTATTCACCAGACCTGGTGCCCTGTGACTTCCGGGTCTTCCCAGTCAAGGTGACCATGACCGGGGGACGTTCTGAATCCATTCAGGACGTGGAGGCAGCCACAAGAGCGCAGCTGAGACTCTTACAAAAGAAAACTTCCAGAGCTGCTTCAGCAAGTGGCGAGAATGACCGGATGTGTGCTCGAAGCCAGGGAGAGCAGCCTGAGGGGGAGTCACGGCGATGTGTCTTTTACCGTACTAAAAAAATACTGAGATATTCACCACGTTTTTCAGTCGCGCCACAAATACTGAGGGAAGGACAGACCACACGCCCGATTCACCCAGCGCACCGCCTGCACCAGGGTCTGCAAGGCTGGACCCGGCCTTTCCCAGGAGCTTCCCTGGGCTTCGGCAGGCGGTGACCCAGGACCTGGAGAGGAAGTTCACGGGAAGCGATGCCCAGCAGGGACCACAGGCGAGGGAGCAGACCCGCGGGAGCACCCTGCCTGTGTCAGTCCTGAGGGTGACACGGGGCTGCCGCGGCACTCGCCTCCCTCCTCCGGACCCTCAGCCCGGGCGAAAGGGCGTGTGGACCAGGGGCCAGTGCTGACCTGCGCCTGCAGGAGCTGTGACAGCTGGGCACCTGTCGCCTCCTCCTCTGAGAGCCACACTGGGCTCCGCACTGTGACCACAGCGCCCTCTGGAGAGAGCTTCCCTGCCCCAAGCTTCACCACACTGCGCCCTCTTAAATGACCACGGAACAGTGACTGAAGTTAGCGCTGCAGCAGCGCCGCTGCCTCATAGAGGGCCCCGGGGCACGCTGCTGGCCCACAGCGACCTTCATGGCGAGGCTGAGCCCGTCCATCCTGTCCGGTGCGTGCTGGAGCGGAGGCCCGGCCCTTGCACTGTGGCGGACGCACGGGGGCGCTGTGCCCCAGGCACACATGCTGCCCGTCCTCACAAGGTCCACTCTGCCTGGTTCCTGCCAGCACTGGCCCCTGGGCAGCCTCCAGGGACCTCCGGGGGGGACGCTCTGAGACCGGACGTCACGGTGGCGCTTGGGCACCTTTGGCACCTGTGCTGTGACATCCGTCAGCGGCTCCTGCTGGGCCAGGCAGCGACAAGCGGGGCCGTTCCAAGCCCTCAGCCTGCGTTCTAACCCTCCTTCCCACGCGTTTATTGCTCTGTTTCTATTAGCACGGACGCGGGGCGCTCACTGTGCTCAGCCAATGTGATAACTGCCGCAGGGAGGCTGCTGCCCACGGGGCCTGGCGCACTCTCTGTGTGACCTCCCGACTGTCCTCCATTCTCAGCTCTTCCCGGCCCAAGCCCTCTGCTCCTGCCCTGGCCCACCCAGCACTCAGGGCTTCTCCAGGAAGTCTTGGTTCCTTCTAGGCCACTACTCCATCCTGATGAAAGAACAAAGGTGTGCAAACGGCCGAAAAACCCCAGCTGTAGAAGTGTTAGTCAGGCACAGTGGCGCACACCTGAAACCTCAGCCACTCAACGGGCTGAGGCAGGAGGACCACAAGCTAAGGCCAGTCTGGGCAACTCAGCAAGACACTCTGTCAAAAACCAAAGAACACACTGGCTCCTACAGAGCGCTGCCTCGCGGTTCAGTTGCTACCGTGGCTTCCAGAGATGAGAAACAGGGCTTGTGCGTCCCTGCACAGGGCACACGGGCGTTCTGCACACACGTGCTCCACGAAGCCCAAGGAGTGAGGCTCAAAATCAGAAGGCACCTGCTCCGCGACACACGCAGCGCCGGGCAGAGCACGTGCTGCGCACACGGCACCGGGCAACTGGACGTGGTATCACTGCTTCTCCCAGGGCGGCACCCACTTGAGCACAGCTTTTCTGTCCTCTTTGGGAAGAAAAGACACCTCGCCGACGAGAACAGCGCTCCCCTTACATAACATGCATCTGCACACCCCCCCATCGTTCCTGTCTCCCACCGCGGCTCCTTCCCACGCAGATTCGCTCCCAACCCACTCTATGCCGCTTCTAGCTCCAAATCTTGCAACCACTTAGTGAAAGAATTAAAAAAAATTTTTTTAAGTAACAAGTGAAAGAAAATCTAGACACCAGTTAAATGCATCCTGTACGTTACTTGTGGGAGCAGGTTTTGGGGCAGATGGGTTTCCCCTTTGCCTTCTGACGCCCGTCCTTCCTGGGTATATTTTTTCTTAGAGACACGACAAGTACCTTGCTATTTCCTGCTGGAACCCCTACGCAGGGAGCTCAGATGCTGCGGGCTCCCAGGGCTGTGAGGGAAAGGGCAGGTGGTCTCCGGGCTCAGGTTAAAGCCCAGCCACCCTCCCTGCAAGCACCAGCTGGCCCGCCTTCTTGTGCCCTGAGGGGGAGCCACCTGCCGAGGGTTCCAGGCCAGCGAAGTGACAAGCGTCAGCTGTGACGTCCTGCAGCCTGGGACCCAGCTGTATTCACTGAAGCACCAACAGGAATAAACCCAGTGGCCTGGGCCAATTCCGTCCCAGTCAACCCAGCCGGCCCAGGCTGCCGCTCCTCATGGCCCAGCAGAGCCCCGTTCCGTTCCCCTTCTGGTCCGTTCCTCTCCCTTCCTCCCCAGCCTCTGCTCTCTTCATCGGCTCCCAAGCAGTGCACCCTTGATCAGGTGAAGTGACTGGCGTGGGCCACACGGGCGGCTGGACTCAGAGGCAGCCCCTGCTCCACTATGCAACTCCTCACATAGCCATGCAAGCTCCCTTCCTGCTTGGCCCTGGGGCAACGAGGACGTGTCCTCCACAGCACAGGAAGCCCAACACCGCTCTGAGGCCAGGGGAGCACTGCGAGGGAGATGAATGACAATGTGTCTTTTACTGTAGTGTATACTTTAGAAAACATTTAAATAGTCACCTTATTTTTTTAATCCTATCTCATTGTGTGCAGGTCCACACACAAGAATTTAAACCATGGACATTTACAGAGTGAAAATATGCAACAAGATATTTCCCCTCTTCCCACAATGCAATTAAAAAGAAAAAAGAAAAAGGACCAGAGCACGAATAAATTCTGAATGTCTCTGGTTTTCAGACAGCATCTTGCTATGTAGTTCAGGCTGACCTTGAACTCACTATGTAACCCAGGATGGCCTCAAACTCACAGCAATCCTCCTGCCTCAGCCTCCTGAGTGCTGGGATTACAGGTGTGTGCCAACACACCTGGCTCTCAGTCTTTTGATAGCGACTATGTGTTAGACCAAGGAATGAAGGAGGAAAAATTATCGAAAGCTAATTTTACTTATTCAGTGTGGCTGACCATGGTGACACACAGCTACTTGGGAGGCTGAGACAGGTGGATGAAAGTTCAAAGCCAGCCTGGGCAACTCAGCAAGGCCCTGTCTCAAAGTAACATCACATAAAAAAGGGCTAGGGATGTAGCTTGGTGGTGGAATGACTGTCTCACATATACAGGGCCCTGGGTCCAATCCCTATGCAATGAGAAGAATGCTCTTTTCACTTTTAAAAACTATTTCCTTGTGGAAGAGCACAGCATGAATGTTTCCCAAATTAAAGAGGTAACCATTTGGAGCACAGCGTTTGGCACGGATGCCCCCCAGCACGTGCGAGGCCAGGGATGAGGCAGGGCAAGCTCTATGGGCATGGGAGGCGTGAAGGCGGGGCTGTAAGAACGTCCATAAACACTCCTCATAGCTTTGGCACCGCTCCTGGGTCTCCAGATTTAGGTTTTGTTTCCTTGGTGATGGGGACGGAACCCAAGGCCTCACGCCTTCCAGCCAGGTGCTTACCACGGAGCCGCATGCCTGGCCCTGTGTGAGACCATGAACTGCCTTAAACCACCGGTTGGTCACTCGGGTTCTACCCCTAGTTGTGGGGTCCGGGGCTGTGTGAGGGTCAGGGTGCTGCCCGCAGCGCTCTCTGGCTCTAGGGGAAAGCCCAGATTCCCAGTCTCTGAGGGCAACACAAGGCCGCAGCGGAGGACACCCGGCTCTCACTCCTATTCCAGGGCAGTAACCGCGAACCTAGCAGATAGAACAGCCCTCCCGTTAGCCGACTCACCTCTTGAAATGTCTTTGTTCTAACTTCTCACGGCCTGCTCACTTCTGTGGGCTTTTGTGCCCTCCACTTCCTGCACCCCCTGAATTGTTAAGGACCCAATGAACATGGGCAGTCCAGAGAAGCCTCGGTCTTGCCTCCAAGAGAGTTCTGACCTTCCAGGCTCCCCTCAAACCATACTGCACGTTGCCTTTTATTTGACCCTTTCCTTCATGCCTGTCCGTAAGATTGGGAGCTTGGCCAGCTCCTGGAACCGAGTTCCCCACTTAGCAGCTGGGAGGACGGAGGGACAGAGCAGCTCCGAAGCTCCCTACAGGAGCATTAGACAGTGTCCTCAGAGTGTGCTGATGACACCTGCACATCACCGGGGGCAGGGCAGGGCACAGTGGGGAAGCGGGACAGCCGGGCCATCTGCTCTCTGACCACTGTGGCGGCAGGCCAGCGCAGCACCGTGGCAGGACCTGCAGGGACCCGAAGCCATCTCCTCCGAACACAGCGGAGTCAGCCAACAGGAGGCCCCCGCTGGTCCAGAAGGATGCTTGTTCCTGTATCTTTCCCTCAGCATGAAATTAGAATGGGCCAAGGCCCAGGCAATAACGCACTTGAGATAAGCCTTTCCCGATCCATTTAGACCCGGCAGAAAAGTGCGCCAGCTCTCGGGGGAGGCCTGCTGGGGCCGCTTCAGGCTGCAGCCCTCCGCGGAGACGCTGCCTTGTTTGGCCTGGGGCTGCTCTGCTCCCCTGCAGAGCTAGAAGCTGTCAAGGGGCTGGGACCCTGGGTGCAGCCTGAATGCGGCCCAGGACGCAGCTGTGCTAACCCAGCCCCCTCGCTCTGTCTCCTGCTCCCACACTCCTCCAGCACACGGAATTTGACCGCTCAGGCAGGAGATCACAGACCTGACTAATGGGGTCCTGAGATGGGTGCTCATCCTGGGCCTTCCAGTTGGGCCCAGCGGAACCAAAGGCCCCCACTAAGAGGGAGCTGCAGGGTCAGGGGCGGAGAAGATGTGGCTGAAGCAGTGCTCACAGTAACACGAGGACTGCAGGCGCCTCTGGAGGCTGGGCATCGGGCGGGCCCTTCCCTACCACCTCCAGGGGGCCCCGCGGCACCCAGGACCCCGTGTGGGGTCGCTGTGCAGGGCCCAAGGCTGCACAGCAGCACGGGAAACCAACACAGGCTGGCGGCACAGGACTGTAGATGCTCCGGGACGGGGAAGGGACAGGCAGAGTGACAAGGACCGGGAGGAGCAGCAGTGCAGGGGCAGGGATGACCCCCAGGGGCCACCCCCTCTCACACTGGTGACACTGGGGTGAGGCCCACAGAGGGGACGCTGGCCTCAGGGTGACAGGGATGATGGCTGAGCGGATGATGCAGTGGGGCCCTGAGGTCGGGAAGCATTTGCTTTCCCCTCCTAGTTCAGGGACCTCGATTTTGTTGTGTCGGGGTGTTACAGGCAAGGCTTTGGGCAAATCCAGTGCAACAGTGCAGTGGGCCCGGGACTCGAGAGCATTTGAAATCCTACAGTCCCTGGCAAACTGGGGTGGGCTGGTGGTGGCTGAAGGGGTCTCACTGCTGAGCAGGGGCTGCAGGGTCATCTGTACAACCACAACGCAAGAACGTACAGCAGCCAGGAGCGGTGGTGCCTGTGTGTCATCCTCGCTCTGGGGGAGGCTGAGGCAGGAGGATCACAAGCTTCAGCCCGAGCTGGGCTACTCTACTCAGAGACTTAGTGAGATCCCGCCTCAAGATAACAAATAGAAGAAGGCTGAGGACACGGCTTAGTGTGAAGTCCCCGCGATCCCCAGTACTGCAAAGTAACAAAAATGACACAAACAAACAAAAAACCCAGACAGAGGTAGCGGCCTCTCGCACATTCTGCTCAGGAATAAGCCACAAGCTCTGGCGTCCAGCCAGCACCCTGACCAGGTCTAGAGACCTCAGTGTGGCCCCTGTTGGGCAGGAATGGTCCTCAGACGCCACAGGGAAAGGGTGTCCCTGCCCCCATGACGCGGGCCAGACTGCAGATGTTGGGGGTGGACTGCAGGCTGCTGCAGGGACACCAGGCGCCGAAGGACCCCGGACCCTGTCATCACCGCCTCCCTGGCCTGACAGTCTCTCTCCTCTCGCCCCAGCTTCCAGGGCCTGCAGCGGCAGCCTCATTCCCAAGCTGCATCCCGGCCACCCTTGAGCCAGCTGCAAGATCCCAAGCCGACCGTGTTCCCGGGCCAAGCCTGCCTGCTCTTTCTCAAGGGGACACGACTCTGTCCCCTCACTCGGGGACAGGTGAGAGTGCAGGTGTGACCCTGGCTACATGTGTGACTTCACAGAGAAGAGGCCGCTCCCCATCCCCACCTGGCTCTGAGCTGAGGGTGTGCGGACCAGGGCAGGAAGGAGCTGGGGGCCAGGGGCAGAGGAGCTCTGAGACCCCACCCTGGGTCACCTCTGGCAGGAGCACGCTACAGTGCCTGGCAGGCGGCCCAGGTTGTCCCTGGGAAGGAGGAGAGGTTCCTGCATCCCGGTCACTCTCAGATTCCCAGCGGCCCCAGCTCATCAGGGTCAAAGCCCAAATCCTCCGTGCACCCGAGGTCACCGCCTTCCCTGTCTCCCACCTCACACCGGCGCCCTCCTTTCCCTGCACACGCTCCCACTGCAGGGACAGGCACCTGCTCCTCCTTCCCTGGGCTCCAGCTAGGGGCTCCGTCTTGAGGGCCACTCTAGGGGGGCCCATCCTCTGATCCTCCTAGCCTAGGGAAGGGCAAGGCCCGCTTTCTACCCAAAGCTGCACAGGCCCCCATCCCTCAGGGCAGGTCCCACATTGTGGAGGCTACATGCTGCCAGGGGCTTCTGGGGACCCCCACGGGGAACCCCAGAGGCAAGGCAGGGAAGGCCGGGGAGTTGGGGCCCCATCCTCAGCTGGGCTCCTGCAGCAAGCCGGACAGCCTGGCCGTGCCTCAGTTTCCTGGTCTGTCGATTGGTGAACTTGGAGAACCCACTTCCAGGCACCCACCCGGTGCTGACGGTGTCTGCACACCTGCAGGCCCTGCCTCACGCCCATCCTGCTTTGTCCCTGAGGCCAGAAACACAGCTTTGTTGGGGGGGTGATGTGGCCCTTCGGTCCTCCCTCAGTTTCCCCTGCATGTCCCCAGCGTCGCTCTGCCAGTGGAGACAGAACGGGCACCCTGGTGGCGCAGGGAAGTTTCCTGGCGCCTCCTGCTTTTCTGGTAAGGAGCCGCTCACAGAGACTGGAGGCCACATCCCTCTTCCTGCTTCGGAGACAGCCCGAGCCTGGAGCGCGGTCCCCGAGGGGCCAAGGCCGGCGGCCACCGCCCCAGGAGCGTCGGCCTGACTGGCACTTGGGTCCCGGCGCCCCGGCGGCGGGGCGGAGGCACCGGAGGCTCCCGCCCGGCAGCGGCCTGTCTCCTCCCCGGAGGGAGCGGGCGGGGACCCCGGCCTGGAAGGACCACGACCCGCGACCCCCCACCCCATCTGGCCGCGGCTCTTCCGACCGAGGCGCACGCAGTGGGCGCCGGAGACGCCGGG